ACAAATCCTCTGTCCCTTTCTCCATACGTGCCCTATCAGCTGTTAAAATACAGGGCAGGCTCTTAGATGTTCTATTTCTCTACAGAGGTACCATTACCTGAAAGCTTGCTCCCAGTCTCCCAGGCGAGCACCTGGTCAGTGGCTGCCCACTTACAGAGGAGAAGTCCGTGTGCACGCCTGGTCCCAGCACCCAAGGAAAAGAGACAGTCTTCCTCTTACCCGTAGATTTTATCATCTCTGGTACTCCACCCCCTTGACCCTGGTCAGCCCAGGTCAAGGAAGCTTTTCTTGTCACCTCCTTCCTCAAGCCTCTCTAGAATTTGACACCCTCAACTCTCTGTTCCCTGCCTGTGGAAGTGGGGGGAGGGGAGAGAAGAGGGAAGCTTGACCATCCCTTTTTTCTGCAGGTGGGCTGAGGTACAGGCCGAACTGACTTCCACCTCCACCTAGAAGGGAAAAAACTGTTAAAGCACAAAGTGGAGACTGTGCTGCTTGCCAGTCTCCCAGGAGAAAATGTTATTTCTTTACACCTTAAGAACCCTATGGGATCACCATAGGTTGGCTGTAGCTTGACAGCAAAAATACCCCCCAACAACCCCTATACCCAGAAAACTACCTTGTCAGGTAGAAGGGCCTAACCAGTTTGGTGTAGTGGTTAAATGCGCGGACTCTAATCTGGGAGAACCGGGTTTGATTCCCCACTCCTCCACTTGCCACCTGTCTGGATGACCTTGGGCAAGCCGTAGTTCTGGCACAGCTGTTCTTGAAAAAGAGCAGTTTCTGCCAGAGCTCTCTCAGCCTCACCCACCTCACAGGGTGTCTGTTGTGGGGAGGGGAAGGGGAAGGAGTTTGTAAACCGCTCTGAGACTCCTTTGGGTAGTGAAGGGCGGGGTATAAATCCAATCTCCTCCTCCTCCTCCTCCTCCTCCTCCTCCTTCTCCTTCTTCTTCTTCCCCCCTTGTCGTGGATACCTAACTTTCCATGTGTAGGTATCTTCTGATGTGTGGGTAGATGGGTACGTTTTTAATTACACAGGACTCCCCCTGTGCTCCTATATATATTTTCTCCCCCCTTTCCCTTGTCCAAGACACACTGTGCAGGGTTTTCCTCTTCCCTTCTTTTCCTTACCAACCCTGTGAGGTTGATTAGGCTGAGTGACTGGCCCAAGGGCCAGGGTTGCTAACCTTCATCTGGGGTCTGGAGATCTCCCAAAATCACCACTCATCTCCCTGTTACGGAGATCAGTTCTCCTGGGGGGAATAGCTGCTTTGGATGGTGGACTCTATGGCATTACACTCCGCCGAGTGTATACTACTGTGTTTAGGATGTATTATCAGTTTGCTGTACATATTACTCTTAGGCAAGGCTCTTTTTGTAGGGGAAAAACAGCAGGAACTCATTAACATAATAGGCCACACCCAACAGCACAAACTCATTAGCATATTAGGCTACACCCCTGATAGCACAGCTCATTAGCACATTAGGCCGCACCCCCAGAAGTGTGGTCATCCAGCCACACCCACCTTTTGCTTCTTATTCTGTTTACCTTGTTTGTTGTCAAAACCCAGCTTTTTTTGTAGCAGGGACTCCTTTGCATGTTAGGCCACACACCCCTAATGTAGCCAATCCTAATGAGTTTCTGCTGTTGGGTGTGGCCTATTATGCTAATGAGTTCCTGCTGGGCGTGGCCAACTCAGGAGGCAGCCGGAACTCCGTTCCTGTGCGTTCCTGCCCAAAAATAGGCCTACTCTTACGGTTTTCAGCCCCCAGGTCCCAGCAGGGGTTCCCCCACTTTTGGGGGCTCTGATCTTCCACCAGGCAGCTGGCTGGCGGGGGAAACCCCACACCCAAACAGGGTTGTCATCGTGCGATGTCCCTGGCGCAATGATGTCACCCAGAAGTGACGTCATCGTGTGGCAATGTTGTGTGTGACCATTCTGGTTTTGGGGCAAAGTCTATGGTTTGAAGCCAAAAAATCCTAGAGCTTTTGCCCAGAAACCAGAGGGCTGCATGTGACATCACTGACACGGGACATTGCACATGACATCCCACCGGATGGTGGCAATGCAGTGGCATCACTTTGGGATGGGGCATCCACAATCTGCCAGCTGGTCGGTGGCGGATTGAAGCCCCGAAAACTGGGAGAACCCCCGCATGGACCGGGTCTTTGGCAACCCTATGTCATGTCCTGGGAAGAATGGCACATGGTGGACTGTTGGAAGGGATTTCTGCGTTCTGTGGGAGAAGACAGTGCCATGTGGAATTGGAAGCACAGAATCTCGCCATGCCTTTCATATCTAGGCAGGAGTTTAAAATTTAACTGTGTGTGTGTGTTATAAGACAGCGGTTTATTTTTATTTGATACATTAAAACATTTATACCCTGCTTTTCCTCATGGTGCGAGGCGGTTGAATTGCATAAGTGTGATTTCCTTTAAATCTAAACTGTCACTTCCTCATTGACTGTCTTCTGTTTAATAGGTGTGGGGTTTTGTGTCCATAAAAATAGTGAGTTGAGCCTATACTTACCCACACTTAAGGGTGTTTTTCCCCAGCTACAGATACCTATTCAGCTCATATTAACGTAGTTCACGCTGAGCAAATATGGATTTATTACAGCTGTGAAAATGTTAAGCAGATCAAAAGCGCTTGTGTGCATATGCACATGCAATGCCAAACCTCAAAATAATTAAGTAAGAAATGGGGGGGGGGAGATTGTTGAGGTTATTTGGGAAATGACGGGTTACAGATATGGGAAAGTTTAAAGAGATATGTGGGGGTTTTTTAAGTATCCGAGGGTACACTTTTATTATTTTTTTTCATTATATACTACACATACATACAAACAACACCCAACTACCCCCAACAACATATAACATATAACAAGAAACTTTTATCCCTTCTTCTGCTTATTAAATTTCTAAATTCATTTTCTATTTTACTAAGCTTATCTTTTCTGCGTTCTCAAATTACTACATTTATCTATCAGTTGCATTTACATTATATCAATCATAGAATCTCTTCCAAGTTTTTTGAAAAGTCCATTCTGTGCCGGCTCTCATCTCAAGTGTCAGTTTGTCATTTTCCGCCGTTTCAAATGGTTTGTTCACGTACTCTTGTTTCGTTGGTATTTCCATTATTTTCCAATATTTGGCATATACTATCCTTGCAGCTGTCGACATATGAACGATCAAATACCTATCTGCTTTACCCAGGGGTCGTTTCGTAGAAAAAGAGCTGGGGAACTCATTAGCATAACTCATTAGCATATGCCACACCCCCTGACATCATAAGGCCCAGCAGTGGACCTGCAAGGCCAGCGGGAGTGTGAGGAAGCCCCACGAAGGCCCTCCCTGGCCCCAGGCAGGCAGGGGTGGGGAGAGGCAGGGGGGAAGCAACTTACCCTCCCTCTTCTCCTGCCTCCTCCTGGCTGAATGAGGGCCGGAAGCGGGGCGGCCAGAAGCAGGGGGCGGGGCTTCGTCGTGTGCCCCCCCGCACCTCAACCGGGGGAACTGCGATCCCCCGCGATCCCCCCCCGAATGGACCTCTGGCTTTACAAAAGTCTTTCGGAAAGCATTTGTTCAAGATGCATACAAGATGAGAGCCACTGCAGTGTAGATAGATTTGCTAATCTCCAGCTGGGGCCTGGAGTTCCCCTGGAATTACAACTAATCTCCAGACTACAGAGATCAGTTCCCCAGGAGAAAATGGCGGCTTTGGAGGGTGGAGTCTATATAATTCTTCTCCACCGAGATCATTCCTGTTTTCGAACCCGCCTTCTCCGGTCTCCACCCCCCAAAATCTCCAGGCATTTCTGAACCCAGAGTTGGGAACCCAAATTTAGACCAGTACCACTGAGTTCTCAAACTGGTCTGTTTTGGGTATCCCAGGGGATCCGTGAGTCATTTAAGATCAAGGGGCAAGCCTGTCTTGTGCCTCTCTGGCTAAGGAGAAAATCGAGTCCTCCTGAGGTTGAATCATGTTAGAAAAGCCACATGGCACTCTGTGCTGTGGACTTGGTTTGCAGGCGTGTGGGAGCCTGATTCATGTTTTCCCCAGAGTCATCCCTCAACTCACATCATCTTTTCCACCTGAAATGGCCACGGGGTACCATTTTTTTGTTCGGTTGGGGAAAATGTTTGTGTTACTAACGACTACATGTAAGTCTCCCCAGTCACGAAGAGTTGGACTCGACTGTGCAACTTGAACAACAACAAGTGTCCCCAGTAAGGCAAATAATTGCTCCTTGGGTCAGGGACCATTTCAGGGACACACAGCAGTAGTAGGTAAAGGGCCTTAATCCCCTTCCAGTTGAGAGCCAGTTTGGTGTAGTGGTTAAGTGCGCGGACTCTAATCTGGGAGAACCGGGTTTGATTCCCCACTCCTCCACTTGCACCTGCTGATGTGACCTTGGGTCAGTCACAAGCTCTGGCACAGCTGTCCTTGAAAAAGAGCAGTTTGTGTCAGAGTTCTCTCAGCCCCACCCCCCTCACAGGGTGTCTGTTGTGGGGAGGGGAAGGGAAAGGAGTTTGTAAGCCGCTCTGAGACTCCAAGTGAAGGGCGGGGTATAAATCCAATCTCTTCTTCTTCTTCTTCTCTTCTTCCCCCCCATGGTCGCAATGTGAATCCCCCCCCCCATGTGTGAAAATTGAGTTCCCAGCACAGAACATCACAGGTTCACCACACGGTCATTATAATGTGTCATTCAGCCCTAAGGGCAGGGATTCTCCACAGCAGGGGAAGGGGATGGATGGAATCTGCTCCCCCAACCCTTTCGAAGGGCAAGAGCTCCACAAAACCACCACAAACGCTAGTCGGCTAGCTTCAAGATCCCCCTCGGAGCACTAGCTAGAAAGCAGGCTGATTTGTTGCTGGGATCCAGTCGTTCAGCCCCAGGCACTCTTACTGGTTGAGCGACACCAAAGAGGTACAGCCCTGATACAGTCATCCTCGCTATTTCCGGTATAAAGCCAAAGGGCTTGCCTTCTGTTTTCCCCAAAGCGAAGGATTTCAGCAGAGGAGAGACAGAGAGCACTTTGCATCCATCCACAATAACAGCCAACGTCGATTTTCAGCTAGGTACTGGAAGTTCAGGTTTTGTATGATGCCGTTTGTCTTCTGTTTTCTGCTCCTCTTCATCTGGCCACTGTCTAAAAGCCAGCCAACCAATAAGGTAGTTTCTTCTTATCTTTGGCCCAGATCTCTTCAGATTAAGAGATTAGGTTGCTTAGAACTTTGGTTGGGACATTTGAGGTGTGGCTTTGTAGACCATGAGCAGACGGCAAAAAATTCTTTGTCTTATTCTTGCTTCTAAGGTGTAGTTGATAAGGGTCTCGCAGATTGTTTGAGGATGTGAGAAACGGAGGCCTCCGTGAGGCATGTGACATTTGCTGCAAATGTTTTGAAAAGGGGTCATGTGTTGTGTGAAGAGGAGGAGGAGGGAGGAGGCTTGGGAAACCGTGGAAGCTTTTTAGTCAGGATGAAAACTCCTTGGGTTAATGTTTGAGACTCACTAATGTAGCAGGTAGAACGCTGGCTTGAACTTGGGTGATCCTGGATCAGATTCCCACTGTGCTGTGAAACTCAGTGAATGACTATGGGTTATGGTTGCCAGGTCCCGCTGGGCACTGATGGGGGTTCGGGTGCTAGATCCAGGCTGGGGGGACTCCTGGAGATTTGGGGATGAAGAATGGGGAGGACAGGGACCTCAGTGGGCCAAAGTGATACAGAGCCCACTGGGGTTGTCGGTCCCCAGATCCTGATGGGGGTTCCCCCGATTTTCAGGCCTTCAGCCTACTGCCAGGTGGGGGAACCCCACCCCCAAACAGCCACGTTCTGGTGCAACATCCCCAACACTATGACGTCACATGAAAGTTACTAGCACTAATAATTAGATCATTTTAATGTTTATAATCAACCCTGACTGTTCCCTGGAAGGCCAGATAATGAAACTGAAGCTCAAATAACTTTGGCCACCAAATGAGAAGGGAGCACTCACTGGAGAAGACCCTGGTGCTTGGAAAGATTGAAGGTCAAAGAAGATGGGGACGGCAAAGGATGAGATGGTTAGACAGTGTCATCGATGCAACGAACATGAAGTTGAGCCAACTTCAGAGGACGGCGGAAGACAGGAGGGCCTGGCGGGAGCTGGTCCATGGGGTCGCGAAGAGTCGGACTCGACTGTGCGACTGAACAACAACAAATGTTTATAATGCTTAAAATCTTCTAACTTTTGTAAATGGCTTTATGGTACTGGGTACCAACTTATGTAAGCCGCCCTGAGCCTGCTCGCGGGAAGGACAGGGTATAAATTGAAGTAATAAATAAATAAAATCACATTGGGGATGTCGCGCAGGACACTCTGGTTTGAGGGCAAAACTAGGGTAAATTTGGCCTAAAACCATACTAGCGTTGCCAAATGTGCCTGGGGGGAACCCAGCCCCCGAAGCTGCGTCACCAGAGGTGACGCAGCCACGGTGCTGACGTTGGGGGCGTGGCTGAGCTCGTCGGGGGGGGGGACCATATGTTTCCCCCCCCGATGAGCTCGGCCCCCCCCACGCCCCCAACGTCAGCAACGTCTGACGTCACGCGCACGCCCAGCCTTCTCCCGGACGGGACGGAGCCTCCCCCGCCGGTGAGTTTAAAAGATTTGGCAACCCTAGGCCATACAGTTTTGCCCTCAAACCAGAGCATCCCATGTAACTTTGCTGAAGCTATGACATCACTTCTGGGTGATGTTCTTGTGTTGGAGAACGTCCCCCCAATCCCCCCGATGGCACGGTGAGGGGACCTGGCAACTCTAGAGTCCATCCTCCAAAGCATCCATTTTCTTCAGGGGAACTGATTTCTCTAGTCTGGAGGAGATGTCCTATAATTCCAGGGAATGCCCAGGCCCCACCTGGAGGCTGGCATCCCTAAGGGCCAGTCACCTTCGCTTCCCTCACAGCATTATTGTTGGGACAAAATGGGTGCAGGAGAGCCTATGAGCCTTTAGTGTTAGGGCTGGGTAAAAATGGATGGATCGCTTATAAGGTAAAGCTTCCTAACAACAAAGAGAGAGGTTTCGGTGGCAGCCGAAATTATGTATGCAAGGTGTGAGAAGCTTGCTGCTGTTTTAGAGAAAGAAACATTGATTGCAAAAACGCAGTCGTCGTGATGAGCCCAGGAAAGGGACGGGACCTATGATTTGACAGCGATGGTGGATTATGAGTTGAAGATTGCAATTAAGTGGAACAACAAATCCGGTGGTGCTTCTCACTGCGTGTTTACTGTTGTGACATGTTTGTATGAGCCGTGAGTTAGAAAACTAACATTTAAAGAGAAAAGGCCAGGGAAAAGCAAGGTTTCCAGATCTCAGCCTGGAGGTTGCTGGTCTACTAGTTAAACATCTCGAGGCAGCTAGAGGGGATGCACCTGTGCCACCGTAGTCCCCCCACCTGTACCTTTGCTTATATTTCTTCCCCACTTCCCATGGGATAAAACTGGAGACAGGCTGGCTGAGTCCGTCAGGCAGGAGAGGAGAATGAGCCCCAAGGCAGGAGGTGGAATGGCCGCGTCCCCTCCTGTTGGGCCCAGCTACGTGAAACGTTTTTCACAGGTCTTCTGTGGGTCCTACCCAGAGGGTTGCCAGTCTCCAGGTGGTGGCTGGAGATCTCCTGGAATCAATGTTGGTCTTCAGGTTACAGAGATCAGTTCCCCTGGAGAAAATGGCTGCTTTGGAGGGTGGACTCTATGGCATTATATTCCACCGTTGGCATTATATTCCCCAGGCTCCTCCTCCAAAGCCTTCAGGGATTTCCCAAACTTTGGAGGGCGACTTTGCCGGCCAACCAGCTGTGTGCTAGGAGTACTGGGTTGAAATTTAATCCCCCAGATGTGCAGGGGCTTGCCTTGGATCAGAACTATGGGGGGAAATCCTACCATGCTATCTGCCCAACTTAGAGAACTGCTGTTTGCCCCGTTGTATAAAAATAAGTTCCCCCAGTGGGGTGAGTTGTAGTTTCCTGGGGCTGTTACAAGTTGAGAAAACAGTGGGGGGGGGGGCTCAGTGCCCTTCAAAGGGCCCCCAGTTTACACTAGTCCCATAGGGTTGCCAGCCTCCAGGTGGGACCTGGGGATCCTTTGGAATTGCAGCTCATCTCAAGACTTCAGAGATCAGTTCCCCTGGAAAAAATGAATTCTTTGGAGGGTGGGCTCCAGGGGATTGTACCCCACCGAGGTCCCTTCTCTCCCCAGCCTCCATCCCCAAATCTCCAGGAATTTCCCAACCTGGATCTGGCAACCCTACCCCACCATCCCCTGCCAGTGGCCAGCAGTGACCTCGCAACCCTAGATATGCCTGGGAAGTAAGTTCCAGCATGGAACTCCCAGTGAACCTCTGGTCTTACAGGACTGTATTATATTGTGTAGGTAGGCCCTCAGAACTGTCAAAGTTATGGGCAGAGTCTCTGGGTTTGACATCATCTGTCTTTGACAGAGGGCGTGCAGATTGTAGAGTGCAGGGAGGAAGAGTGGGAAAGGGCGTAGACAGGGAGAGGAGACCAAACTGGGAGGTAACGTTAATCCTTTTCTCTTTCCCAGCTGGTGGAAGGATCATGCGGCAGCGCCGAGGCTACATCGGAGTGCTGGCTCCGTTCTGTGTCCTGGTCGTCTTCCTCTTGCTCACGCTGACCGCCTCCTACAAGCCTGTCATCGTGGTCCACGGCCTCTTCGACAGCCCTTCCGACTTTGGAATCCTGTTGGACTATATCAATGAGGTAGGAGATCTGGCGTGGGTGTGGGTGTGGGAGGCGGTGCGGAGCGCCGTGGTGGATTAACACACATAGCAGCCAGAAGGGTTAGCGGAGTGGAAATAACTTCATTAGGGTTAGCGGAGTGGAAATAACCACATTAGGGCTGCTTTCTTCCGGAGTGCCTCTCCCAGCAAATGAATATAATTCAGATTAACATCAGAAGTGTCTGAAGGCAACTGCAGTGTGAACAGCTCTGGGCAAACCCTCCTTCCCATCTCCCTGTACTTCAGATTAGATTCTGTGAAGGGGATGTCTTGTCCCAGTGCATGCAGCTCATCCATTTTTGCTTTTGTTAAATCTTCATTCCATAGGTAGAAAAACAGGATGGGGTCAGATTCCTCGGCGGGAACTTGTGTCGTGCTCGTCAAGTCGTTTGCGCCAGTCACCTTCCACTTAGGGGCGGAGCTTCAGAGGGCACAAACAACTGCCTGGGAAATAGATGTGCGACTCACACTCTTGCACACTTACCTTCTTGCACAGGGTACCTGTTTACCGTCTGGTTCTCTCTCATTTTTATACCACCCTTCCTCTAAGGAGCTTGGGGCAAGGTAGATTGGTTCTCGTCTTCGTTTAATCCTTGCAACAGCCCTGGGAGGCAAGTAGCTCTCTCACCCAGCCTAAATCACCAAGGCTGATTCTGCACCCACCTGTGTCCTGACAGTTTTTGCACAGCCACGTCAGGAGGTTAATCTCCCTCTGCACTGCATGCCGCTTTCACTTCCTTTGTTCATTGGGTTTTATGGTACCTTCTGCATAGATTTATGGCCGCTCAGGGGTGATTTTGCAGTCAGTACGGCAAAGGGAACAATAAGCAGACAACTTGACATGGCTTCATTGATCTCTGTCTGTTCCCCCGCCCATATTTCCCCCTCTGTATTTATCACCTCACCATGACTTACTTGGCTCAGGTGGCTAATGACTGCTGAGGCAAGTACTGACACGGGAAAATCTGCATACCAGATTGAATGAAAACAGTTATTCCGAGGCAAGGGGGGAACCAGGTCAAGTGCTGAGAAAATGTGGCGCGAATGCCAGATGCAGGAGGGGCCCAGATGAGCTTCGTGGCTGACTGGAAATTTGAACCCGGGTTTCCCCAATCTGGCAGTCTAGTCCCTGCATCATACCAGGTCTCTGTTCTGGATCATTGCAAAGGTGTGTGTTAAGTGCTGTCACAGTTGCGTCTGATTTATGGGCACCCTATGAATTAATAATCTCCCAAATGTCCTATTGTTAACAGCCTCGCTCAGGTCTTACAAATTGAGGGCTGTCAGGCTTCCTTTATGGAGTCAATCCATCTGTGTTGGGTCTTCCTCTTTTCCTAATGCCTTCAGCTGCCAGCTATGCTGCCATGGGGGTTGGGGAGTTCATTCTGTGTCTGGTTAATTGCTGTTGCATTCCTATCCCTGCTGTTCTGCCTGTGCTCTACAGATGTGCAGGAGGAGGTTGTGTTGTCTGGAAGTCTCCTATGTACCGTGAGAGAATCCTGTTTCCCAGCTTTAGCCACCTAACGGTTTTCTAACTTGTCTCCCGCGCGCGGGAGGGTATCTAATTGGCCCATGCCATGGGGGGGGGGTGCATACGAATACCCTATATCCTATTAGGCTCTATGGGTTGCCGCCATTCTTAACAGTGACTGTGTTAGTGCATCTATAGCTTTGCAATAAAAGTATAACTGTTCCTGAATATGTGTTTACTTCGTTGTTAGCTGTGGGTTCTGACATCAACTTTCCCAACATTATTGTCTTTTCTAGTGACTCTTGTCTTCTCATAATGGGACCAAAGTACAACAGCTTCAGTTTAGTCATTTTTGCTTATAGGGAAAGTTCAGGCTTGATTTGATGGAGAACCCTCTTATTTCTCTTTTTTGCAATCCATGCTATCCCTAAAACTCTCCTCCAACACCACCTTTCAAATTAAGGAGCTTTCTTCCTTTCAACTTTTTTCACTGTCCAGCTTTCATACTCGTACGTTGTAATGGGAAATACTACGGTTTGAATTGAAGGTAAAGGTAAAGGTTTCCCTTGCTCGAAAACCAGTCGAATCTGACTCTAGGGGGCGGTGCTCATCTCCGTTTCCAGGCCAAAGAGCCAGCACTGTCCGAAGACGTTTCTGCGCTCGTGTGGCCAGCATGACTAAACGTCGAGATGCACGGAACGCTGTTACCTTCCCACTGAAGCGGTACCTATTTATCTACTTGCAGTTTCTTGCTTTCGAACTGCTAGGTTGGCAGGAGCTAGGGCCAGAGACAGGAGCTCACTCCATCATGCGGCACACTCGGGTCTCGAACTGCTGAGCTCCTTCATGGGTGCTCTTCCCAGCCTCAGTCCTTTGGTTGATGACGGAGCCAAGGAATGGAAAATCTTGAACAGTTTCGATTTCTTCATTGTCAGCCTTAAAGTTGTGTTAATTCCCCAGTATTAATTACTTTTGTCTTCTCGATCAGGGGCATAGCCAGAAAATGGTTTTTTTTGGGGGGGGGGGGCCTTTGGGAAATCCA